ACAAGTGATACCGGGTGCTTTAGAATTAGTATACATTACATACACAAGGTGCTGTGAACTCGGTACAGTGTTACAAAGTGTTGTGAAACCAATTGGCGATAACGGGGGCATGCTATTGATACCGGGCGCTGAGAACTCGGTGCAGTGTAAAGCCAAGATGTTGTGTAACAAGTGCAGTGGTACTAGGGGCAATAATACCGGATTCTTTGTACTAGGTATGTTGTAATTGGGTGTGGGGTATCAGATTTATTGATACTGGGCATTGTGTGTCAAGTGTAGGGCACTAGGTCGTAAAAATTTATAAAGCGCTTAACAGTGAATATTTAGAATTGGCGTAGTTCTTGTGATAATTGAATGAGTATGGAGAATATAGAAGCTGAGCTGTACGCTGATCTCAGTGCAATTGATAAACTGAGAGAAACATTAGATAGGCTGAAGTCGACGCCCTAGACTACAAGATCAAATGTAGTTCCAGACTCCGGGGTAGATGTTAGAAACAAACTGTTAGAAAATAGTTCGTATGAATTGACATCAAAATAGTCCAGTAACAGTGGCACAGAGGGTGCAACTAATGTTAGGACACTGGTCATGTAGATAACCCACAATCAGGTTAGACGCAGTAAATGGAGAAGATGAGTATAGGGGCATGAGAAGAGACAGTAAAACCAGTAAATGTGACTTGCTAATGAAAAGTTCAAACAGCCTTTACTAAGAACAACGCACGCTAACTCTTGTTTACACCCATTTTAACTCAATATGAATGACATTTTGACCATGCATTAAAACTTTATTGAATGCAAAGAAGACTTCATATCATTAGTAATAAATTAATAATTCTGAAACCGTTGTCATTTTTTTTTTACAACTGTTTTAATGGGGGGAGGGGGGGGGGGGTAGAAAATTTGAACATTGAAACCGGGCTTTGAAGAATCTCCAGATTTTAAAATATGCATGGAGATGAATATATGATCCTTAAATGTTTTTGTTTGTTTAACCTATGTAAAATGCAAACTAGAAGATCGATAAAGTAAATATTTGTACTCCCCGCAAAGTTTCGGGGGTATATAAGGGTATATAGTAAATTTTGTCCGTCTGTCCTTCCGTCTCTCTAGCTGTCCGTTTCTCTGTCTGTGCAAACGTCTCTGATCCTTATCTTTCTTACGGAGGAACATTAGAATCTACTACTTCACACAAAGATTGTTCATGACCATAGGGTGTGTCATAACCTTGACCCAGGGTCATTTGGGCATTTAAGTTCAAGGTCAATAAAAAAGTTCATAATTCGTGTCCGGTCCATATCTTTCTTATGGCTAAACTTGGTGAGTTCCCATTTTACTAAAAGATTGCTTATGACCTGAGAATGTGTCATGATCTTGACCTATAGTCACTGTAGAAAAAAAAATGGATAAATAATGCATCCATACATTCCAATAGAGAAATACTTCAAAATTTCTCATTTATTTTTTCAATGCAATAAAAAAAATTTGGTATTTTTAGTATTGCTGTTTTATGAGACTGGGTTTTAGTTTCGTTCTTTAAAGAAATATAATGAGCAATTAACGGTAAATTTTCACTCTAAATGTTGAAACAAATTGCGAACACCTTTTAGATCCATCAAATATTAGCATTAGTGACTTGGCACCTTCTTTAAAACTCCCCACCCCTTGGGGGGGGGGGGGTATTTGTCCATTTTGGACAGTTCTAGCCTAAAATTTAAAATCTCATTTGAAAATGGTAATAAAATGTCCATGTCTTTTACTTATGTAAAATGCAAAGTAGAAGAAAGTACATTATTTTAAGATTTAGAATCTCATTTGAAATTAGTATAAAAATTTTAAAAAATCCATACCCCCCCCCCCCCTTCCCGCCGTGAAACAACAAAAGTTTTGGTATGAATTTGTGGAATAACAATTAAATCATAATAACTATGAAAAGGAATTTTTGTTCCACGGGAGGTGGGGGGGGGGGTAAATATATTTCCCGTTTTCCATTGATTTCTAATGATCATGCTGAATATTTTCGGAATCAGACATCGTACTGCGGACATGCAGTGGACTGCAAACAGAAGACGACTTGCGGGGAGCGTATAGACATACGTTTTCAAACTTACTTAACGTGTTTACAGAGTATTATGAACATCTGTTAGAAATGAAAAAAAGACAATAATAAAAAAAAAACATCATGATTATAGAGTTTTGTAAAGATTACAAATAATCGATTTTGGGGTTTCCTATAAACAAATCATTTCTTCGAATGGATTATACATGTATACTGTATTTAATATATGTATATAATATACAGTTGAGGATCCGGAATTGGGGATACGGATTCCCCATTGCGTTTAGAAAAATTAAAAATATACATAAAAAGAAAAAGTAAGAAGAGGTGTTAGATAAAGAGAAAATTGTGTATACATGAAAAGGAAATTTTAAAGACTTTTGACCTTGTTCAACATTGGGAAGTCTTTCAGAAATTCCGATTTCTCTCTAGTACACGCTAAATAGAAAAATAAGTGACTTTTTCCAACGCTTTACATATCGACTCAGTTAAAACAACGTAGAAACTACCCAATTGTATTTGTTTGTGATAGAACGGTTATGAAAATAAATATTAAAAAAAAAGAAAGAAAATATTTCAAATATTGTGTATATTTGAGTATATTTGGCTTCCCCGATAATGAAGCATTACAATTTGTAATTCAAATACGATTTAAAAAAAAAATGTCTATTGATAACTTATTTTATAGTAATTTTAATTAACTCAAAATAATAACAGTTTACATGCACACCCCTTCCATTTAAAAAAAAAATATTAAAATGATTGAGAAATATAATATGTCGATCTCAGTCCTTCTACGATGAGAAATGGACCAATTCAGGGTATAAAACATAAAAAATAAAATGTTTCAAATAGCAAAATGAACATCATAATTCACTAAATTATATATCAATGAACTTAAAAAAAAAAGAATTGTCCACAAATCTGATATTTCGTTAATTTTTTTTTTCACAACAATTTCAATATACCATTGATTTTAAGGTAATGTTACAGAAACTAATGCTTGATCAAGTCTTATTATTTTTTAAATAAAGCTGAATTTGACCAATTTTTCGTTTCTAATATACAGTATAGAGCACTTAAGAATGATTCATGAAGTCTCGCATGAATCCAAACTTAAGTTAAAATTTCGGGGAAAATATCGTTACGGAAGTTAAAATTCTCGGCAATAGATAATGTAATGGGAATCCCGGCATGAAATATATTCTTTTAACATTATCTATTCATCATTTCAGATCAAGATATCAAACATAACTGGCACTGAAATTAATATAAAACACACAAGAACATTAGAACTATAGCACAATAAAATATATTAGTAGATATACATAGATATCATTATACTGATAGTGTCATAAATAAATATTTTACTCTATGGAATTTAATACGCTTTACATGTATAAAGGGAAATAACTCTTACAAGCTTAATCTTTAAAATTACTTTCCACAATCGTGAAGAGTTATCTTTCATATAAAACCAGAATAGCTATGCATACCTTCCCCGTTTACATGATGTGTGTAACCGATGTGCGACTCGGCTAACACCCAGGCCTTCACTTCTCATCTATGTGCCTTCTTGTTGGCAATATACTGCTTTAGGAAATTTCTGCCCTTGAATACGATAATCCTTTCATCATTACAAACATTCTGTGAAAGTCTATCATAAAGACAGAACATTTAACAAGAAACTATATATATATATATATATATGAACAATGATAATAAATATTACACACAACTGAATATGAATTTCAGTATATAAATATACATGTACATGTATTTTTCTAATTTTCTATATGCATGTATACAGTTTTGTATTTGTGCAAAAGACAATAAAGATTTGTTATTAATTCTGCAAAACGAAAAACTTGTTAATAATTCTAGACAAGACATACTTGTATGTTAAAAAGACAATGGAAAAATGAATTAAAAAAAAAATCTCAATAATTATTAAAAATTAATACAGTGTATGTATTACTACTGTTTTCCATTCGAGGATTTTACCGACTTTATAGTAAAAAAAAAATTATAAAAGACGTTTTTTTAGATTTAAGATTTAATAATTTCTAATTTATCAATTACGTAAGTTATGAAAATCAGCACGTGCAATTTTAAAAGCGTTTACAATATATTGCTTCCTTGTCAGTATGCAATCGGTCACAAGTCGACTGGTGTGCAACGGAAATTAGAAAAAAGAGACATGTTGAAAAAACATATGAAAAAAAAAACCGTTGTACATGTATAAAGGTGTATCGACAAGAAAGATTGACAGTTAATACCCTTTATAAAGTAAATGCTCGGAATAATACGTGAGAGTGTTAGAATAACACTCAAATCAAGAAAATCTAAGTCTAAGGTCATTTTTATTATTTCAATTTTTAAAACCAGCATAATACCTTTTTTTCTAGATTTGTTTTCAATTTGCACTAGTTCTATGTAAATTGTTACTTGTAAATATGTATAAAATACGCATAACATATGCTTCTTTACAGAGTTGCACGAACAAGAATTTTCATTTTATAATTTGAAAAATTAAAACACATTATTAAATTATTTCCTTTAAAACATACGGGGAGAAATAAAAGATTTAGAGAAGCTGAATTTAAATCATGACAGGATTATATATAATCGTTCGTTTGAGAGAGTACAGTTTATAATACAGCCGAACTTCTACATTTCGTAGAGACCTAATATACTGACAGACATGTATAACATTTACGTCAAAAGAGAAAAAATAATATTATAACATAACTTTATAAAAAAAAAGCATTTATGTATGAGGAGCAAACATTGGGGTCGAAACAGATATGGAGCGAATCGGTCATGACCGCGAAACATCCGGTTTCCGAGAATTTGAAAACGAAAGTAGCTTTGTAGTTTTCATGACGTGTATCCATATTTTGATATTTATAGCAATTATAATCAATTTTATTAACAAAATTAAGAATAGAAAGGCCGTTTTGATTGAAATTCGTGCTGGTGTACCTAGAAAAGTTAAATCAGGTGAGTAATACTTGTGTAACTCGTTACATGCTGACATGGTAGGACTGAACCTCAGTTCTAATTAATATATATTTAAAACATACAATTACTGATTGAATAAGTGTTAAAAAGTTTATTATGTTTAAAAAAAACTGTAAATTAACAAGAAATTAACAGGAAATTTATGAAAAACTGTAAAAAAAAAAAAAAAAAAAAAAAAATCATCTTTATTAACAGTTAATTGAAAGTTTGGTGTCCCTTCTCTACCTAACTTCCCTTTTCTTCTCTTTTTCCCTTCTTTCTCTTTTTCTCAATCTCTAAAACTTCTTTCACACATTTCTTTTGTCTCGAATATCATCTTTATAGTTTGTGTTCGTGATTTGTGTGATTTAAGAATAAATAATAATAAAAAAAAGAAATGTTAGGTCATTGTTAGGTAGACAAAAAGCCTTTGATATACATCATATAGGCCTCCACAAATTAAAAATAAGAATTTGAGATAACTTTTTTTACACAAAAGAAATAAGTACCGCGCTATTGTGTAATAACAGAATACACTTGATATTTGGTGTTTGAAGCCGCAGGAGAGCTAGAGATGCTCACCTGAGTACATAGGCTACTATATCAAATTACCAATATTATTAATCAAGGCTATGCTGTTCTTAAACAGAAGAAAGAAGATGGTTGAACATGACGAGCGAAAAGCCTTTTATAGTGTGACAAACATGAAGGTGAAAATCAAAGTCTAATTATATATAAAAAAAAAAAAATCTTGATATTTCATATAACATTAAAATATACGTTATGTAAAATCTCTACAAATTGCAAAAAATCCCACAAAGATTGAAATTATTTGCTTACGAAATATTATGCACACAGTAAAGAGGGCAAAAACATTTTCTCACACTGTACAGTCATTCTACGATAAATGGACCAATTCAGAGTAAAAAACAAGAAAAAAATAATTGTTTCAAATAGCAAAATGAACATCATAATTCTCTAAAGGACATATCAGTGAACTTGAAAACAAAGAATGTCCACAAATCTGGTATCGTTAACTTTTTACAACAATTTCAAGATACCTTTGATTTTAAGGTAAGGAAGTTAATGCTTGAACAAGCCTTATTATTTTTTAAATAAAGCTGAATTTGACCAATTTTTCGTTTCTGATGTTCAGTAAAGAACGCTAAAGTATGATTCATGAAGTCTCGCATGAATCCGAATTTAAATTAAATTTTCGGGAAAAATATTTTTACGGAAGTTAATCGTTACGGAAGTTAATTCCCAGCAATAAAAGTTAAAATTTTCTTCAATGGGTAAAATCAAAGTTTGTTTTAGGATGTTAAGCAAAAGTATGAAGCATTTCGCTCCCAAAATAATAAAACATTTTATACCTTTAATGCAAAAACTTCCCTGAATTACTGTTACGGAAGTTAAACTTTTAAGAGAGACGACTGTTTTTGTTTAATTCATTTTGTTATGTCGAAAATGTAATCGTCTAAAATAGCTGACTCGCAACTAGAATCGATAATATAAGGTTCCGTGGTCACTTTCAGATACGTTTCAGTTCTTTTTGAAATCTGCATGCTATGCGTGAAATTTGAAACAAAATCGTTACGGAAGTTAATCGATTTTAAGCGACATGCTTATGAATTCCCATGAAAGGAGATCTATGCATTTCTTTGCGAGAAGTGGTTTGATTTCTTTTTATATAAGATAAAATACATACATTGTATTTAAACATTCATTGCAATCTATTCGGAACGATTTTACAGCTGAAAATTTCATCTTGAAATTTGTAAATAAATAAAGCGACATTAAGATTTGAAGTGGAATACGTTTTTCAACATTACATTATGCTCATATCAAAACTTTATATTAACTGCATTTATATCGGTGAATACTTACAAAAACATGTGTGTATGTTAAGTCTTAGAGTTGAAATCGACCTTTAAATTTATAGTAAGATATTACAACGGCAAATTTGTAAGCGACATTAAAAATTTCTTAATTGGTCATGTTTTAGTAGAATGACCGTGTAACACTATTTTTCGATATGAGTGGGTCTTCGCTCCATTTTTTTTTAAAGTTAATTCTCAAAGTTTTTATAAAAATATACATTTTTGGGTTTCCAAAAATATGGAGCAAAGACCCACTATAACTTAAAAATATTTCAGGAATGACTCTAATTCTTGGCCAGTATAATCTGGTTTGGGCCAGTTTACGCTTTATAATCCGCAAAGGGGATTTTAAAACAGCGTAAAATGACCCAAACCAGGTTATACTCGAATAATTTGGCCAAGAATTAGAGTCTTTCCTTATAATTTAATTTTAAAATCATTAATAACTATGGGTGTAAAGTTTCGTTGCTTTTTATTAGTTCAAATTTACCGCTCAGTAATACAACCGTAGTAACGGAAGTAACGGAAGTGATGGGAAGCGAGGGGAGGTAAAAACTGATACATAGGCCTAGCAACCTTGTTGCTTGTCTACATGTGGTAAGATCGATTTATTGTTTGAAGTTAAAGGTACATTTATTAAATCTGGAATTTTCCATGAATCCCGAGGATAGGAAATGAGAGGATTGTATGGATACAGATGATTCAGCTGGTTGTCAGGGGTGTGTGTCCCCATAACAAACCAGGTTATACAGAAATAATTTGTGTTCCTTTTTGGATATTAACCAATCAGAGGCTAGAATACAAACAAAATTAAATTATACTTTTATGACTTTTCGAGAAATACTTGAAATCCATTAAGTCAAGGGTCATATCAAAAACATGATTTAAATGCCACTATTCATCAGGACTTGTTTAGTCCAGTGGTTAGCGTACTAGTCAAATGAAAGACAAAAAAGCGTGCTATAGCCTCGAAAGAAAATGATACTCATGATTTTTAGTGCGAGGGTTCGAACCCCACAAATACCACATTATTTCTTAAATAAAAGAATAAATTTTGCTGAGAAAATTTTCCTCAGAAAAGTTTTGTTTATCATAATTTCATAAATTTCGATAATGAGAACTTTACTCTAAATGCTAAATTCACAAATTGAAATTATGATTTTTATATATCTAAAACTATAGGCTTTCTGCATGCTATGCTATGCATGCTATGTCCCTTTGTTGCAAACCGGCCGAGATTCGAACTCACGACTTCCTGATCACGAAGGAGGTCGTGAGTTCCAATCTCGGCCGCGACTGACCTAAGTCGACAAAAAAATGGGTAGCAACTGTTCCTTCGCCATGCTCTCGGCACTTTGAAGTGAAAGTTGAGGGTCCTTTGGATGAGACCTTAAAAACCGAGGCCCCGTGTCACGGCAGGCGTTGGCACGATAAAGATCCCTCACTGCTCAATGGCCCTGAGTGCCGAGTAAAGGTCAAAATTTGAAGCCCTCCACCGGTATATGGTGACGTCTCTATATGAGTGAAAAATTCTCGAATGGGAAGTAAAACAGCATACAATCAATCAATCAATCTGATCAAAGAGTGTCCGGCGTCCAGAAAAGCTCACTTTAGCCTTCGGCTCAGATGAGCTATAAATGATTGATTGATTGTTTGTTGTTTAAGTCCCTCTTGAGAATTTTTCACACATATGGAGACGTCACCACTTGCCGGTGGAGGGCTACAAATTTTGACCTATACTCGGCACTCATGGCCATTGAGCAGTAAGGGTTCTTTTTCGTGCCAGCACCTACTGCGACACGGGACCTCGGTTTATACGGTCTTATCCGAAGGACCGGTCTCCACGTCCCGCAGTGGGATCCGAACCCGCGACGTAAGGATTAACTCCTTACACCGCGACTCTAGAGCAAACGCTCTAACCACTGCGCCACGCGGGCGACGGGCTATAAATGAAAGAGGAAGATAAATTACATTCAAGATTATTTTAGTTTGTTTATGTTATGGTTACTTATACAGAGCATCATTTGATAGGAAGGTCAAGGTCATTTTATTTATAATCTAAGACATAAAACAAAAGATACAGAGAGAGAGAAAAAGGGGGGGTTAAATTATTACGTCTTGTTTATTAAAAAAAAAAGGAAATAAAATGCGTACACGACGTATAAGCAATCCTTTTAATTCACGATTTTTTTTGCTATGGAAATAGAAAGGCTTTCCGTCTCTTCTCCATCACAAGAGAAGTTTTAATTTACCTGCAGGGGTGTGCAATTAGCATCGCCCGACGCCCGGGGCTACTATTTTTTTGGGTCGGGCAAGTAGTTTTCTGCACAGAGGTAGCCCCTTGGGCTAGTAAAAATTAAAACTACCATTGTAATACATGAAAATTACTATCGGTATTTTCACTCACTATTTGCTATTAAATTCTCAAAAAATGAAAAAAAATTTGGCAGCATGTTCCTACTCTTCGTTAATCTCCATAATCGTATCCATTTTGCAGTGCTACCTGACTTATTTACTTCCAAAAACGATCGTTTTTATCTAATCCGAATTTCCTCTATTCCTCTGCTTATGGTAAATACACATGCAGATATCTCATTAAATTATTTACGATCACTCAGTCAACTGAAAGATAAGTGTTATGTGGTTTACATAAAATATATGTCCAGCGTATTTAATGATTAATTAAATAATCATTAAATAATCAATTAATTAAGACGAGAAAATGATTTTCATTTCGTTGTAGATAAGATAAATTATTTGAATTCATTTTTATTTTCTATCATAATTATTAATTTATACATAATTTAATCTTACTAGTGAGAATTAAACTTTATTTTTTTTAAGAATTAATGACATTAAAACCCTGACTTTTTCAACAATAAACAGTTTTCTGTTATCCCCCCTTTTACATTTGGGCTAGTAACTTTTTACTTGGGGCTAGTAACTTTATTGCTGCCACTAGCCCGTGGGCTAGTACTTAATTTTTTTAATTGCACACCCCTGTTACCTCGTATGTGTATTACTCTAACAGCGTCCCCGTAAACTACATCAATGGCAATAAACAGAATAGTTTGTAGTGTTTAAGAAACGTCGGTTCAACGTTTTTTTTTTTTTTTTTTT